AAAACCTTAACTAGGGTCTGCAAAAAAGCGATCAGAACTATGGGATGTAGAAATTTTTGGAGATGCTTCACTGAAGGGTGATCAACAATAAACAAGTCCCTCACCCATAGCAGAAAGCACATAGTAATGAAGATGGAAGTCCCACAAAGGACACCTGGACTTCCTGAGCTGTGGGAAGAGAACGCAGAGTCGTGTTAGCCAGCCATGGGTGGCCACCGGGCCTCTGCCAGCTGCTTGCCAAAGATAAACATATCCCACCCAGCACCTCAGCTGTGAAGGAGGCCAGGTTTGTATAGCAGGTCCTCCCCCAGTGCTCAATAAGCAGCTCTGGCAAGAGGGGAGGGGACCTTGGTTTTCTCCTGCACCATTAGGAAAGCTGGGAACAGAACTGCTCTGTCCAAGTGGAGGCACGCTGAGCTCTGGGAGTCAGCCAGATGAGGGAGAGGCATAAATTATTCCTCTGAAACACAGGATTTGGAAAGAACCCAGATTCGGCCTTGCCCTCCACAGAATATCTGGCAATTTGGGTTAGACTTTGGAGCAGATTGACCTCAAATCACTTTGTCCTCAAATACAATCCCTATGAGATCAAACCCTAACTCCCACTCGTACTACAGAGCTAGGAAAGGGCTGAGACCACCTCCCAAAGTGATCAGCCCTCCTGATAGGGAGACTGACAGATGGGTCTGATGGCACTGACGTATCAGCTCCAAAGCTTGTTCACGTCCTGACACCAAAGGTTGCTCAGTTTCTCTGGGATCCTAAAACGATATCCAGCAGGGAGCCTGGCTGCTGCCCTGCAGAGCCCAACCTTTGAGGCCTTTGCCTTCACTATTTTTCTTGGCCCACAAGTTGCGGTGAACCGGCACCAAAGTTTGAATGTCTGCACGGCCCATCGCTCAAGACTTGTCAACCATCGTCTTGTATGGGGACCTCGGACATCGTCAGGGGAAAGCAGGGGTTTGACAGATCCTCTGTTTTGATCTGCTGGCTCTGAGGTGGCTCTGGACTTGTCCAACCACAGGATAGGCACAGGAACTGATGCTTCCTAAAGCCCATTGTGTTTATTAGCTGCTGATGGACCTTTCTGTTGTGATTTTGTACAATCCCTCTTTTTGCTCTTTTGCACATTCCAGCCTCTGCACTGCCTGTGCTGTATGTCAGCTGTGTGCTCCATGAACTGCCTGTAACGAAACTACCCTGACGAGCTTGTTGTGTGCCTCTCAATACCTGGGTTACGACAGGGTGAAAAATCACTCCCTGGTCACCTTGTCCATATCACTCACGGTTAGGTGGACTCCTGCCCAACTCGTGCCTTTTCAAATGGCTACTTCTAGCTTATTCAGTCTTTCACCAAACATAACTGCTCCCCGTTTTTACAGATCCTTATCACCCCTCTCATTGCTTCTCCCTATCTTTAGAAATAAAACCGAGCAAGCTCTGGAATACGTTACTTTCTGATCTGAAACAAAGATCCTTCCTGCTTAAATGAGTGTGGACAAGGAAAAGACTCAAGGGGCTGTGGGAATCTGACTCACCTCACTGCATTTGGTGTTTCTGTGCAATGTCTCTTCACATGTGACACAGGCAATGACAATGCAATAAGCCAGGCCACATCATCGCTTCTTGTATCTATTCGGTCCTGCAGCCGGACTCCTCTGCAGGACAATCTTGCCTCTTCCAGCACATGAAAAGTTGAGGTACTCGAGTAGAGCTTTCCAATTATTACGTTTGCCACAGAGCCATAAGCCAATTTCAGTTATTTTGGGATCTTGCCTGTGGAAAATAGGTGGACATAAAGGTGGGAGCTAATACACCCACTCAGAGTCTTGAGTTCTGCAGAGGCTGGAGAGCAACAGCAAATTTATGCATGAGGAACCAAAGCAATGGATTGGAGTGTGAGTTTGGCCATCACTAGTTAATGTGAATCCACCATCCCTTGTTCTAGCAGTGGTGAGCATGACAGAAACTTCTTAAAAAGGTTTAAGAAATTCTTCCCGGAGAGGGTGGTGAGGCATTGGGACAGGTTGCCCAGAGAAGCTGTGGAGGCCCCATCCCTGGAAGTGTTCAAGGCCAGGCTGGATGAGGCTTTGAGCAACCTGGTCTAGTGGAAGGTGTCCCTGCCCATGGCAGGGGGGTTGGAACTAGATGATCTTCAAGGTCCCTTCCAACCCAAACCATCCTATGATTCTATGATTCCAACATGGAGATCAGTATCTAAATCTACGAGCACACAGCTTCATGCACCAAGTACATAAAAGCTGCAGACTGTGGTATGTTTTTACAGCTTCACTTCAGTCTCTCTGTCCTTTCCTTTCTGCAATTCTACAATCTCTACCCTCTTCACTGTAACCCACCCAACCTCCCCACATAAACTCTTCCTGGTTTCTAGAATGAGTAAGAATGAAGAGACTGAATTGCTAACAAAGGTCATGAAAACACTCCTTGTAAACAGCACCTACGAGGAAAACTCCAGTGTGAAGAAACCACACTGGAAAGAGAAAGAATAAATGATTAACTACTTGTGTTGGGACATGAGAGACTGAGAACTTCTCAGCAGAGCTTCAAGAATGAGGCCAAGGGACTGCAGTGTAGGCTGAATCCAAGCTCCGTGCCTGGAGCAGAGCTCCTGATCTGCTCCGTGTAAAGGGATCACTCAAGGAAATATCCCTGATGAACACAACCATACGTGTTTCCAAAAGGAATTAAAGGGAGTTTGCAAACAGAACACAAGTGAGATGTGTAGTTTCAAGGAGTCTTTGGAAACAACAGCTGGTGAATTGTCTGACATCAGCCGTGAGCAATGTGACAGGCTGTAACCAACAACCAGAGCGCTACTCATGTCTCCTGGGCTACAACTGAGCCTGCCCCGACATGGGCTATTGCTTCCCATGTTTATGCAGTGCTACCTTTTCTATCACTTCTGCTAGCTTGCCAGCCAGGGAACAGTTAACTGGAATCACAGAATCACAGACTGGTTTGGGTTGGAAGGGACCTTAAAGACCATCTAGTCCCAACCCCCCTGCCATGGGCAGGGACACCTTCCATTAGACCAGGTTGCTCAAAGCCGCATCCAGCCTGGCCTTGAACACTTCCAGGGCTGGGGCATCCACAGCTTCTCTGGGCAACCTGTTCCAGGGCCTCATCACCCTCTCCGGGAAGAACTTCTTCCTGCTATCTAATCTAATCCTCCCCGTTTTCAATTTAAACCCGTTCCCCCTTGTCCTGTCACTACAGGCCCTTGTAAATAGTCCCCCCCAGCTTCCTTGTAGCCCCTTCAGGTACTGGAAGGCTGCTATAAGGTCTCCCCGGAGCCTTCTCTTCTCCAGGCTGAACAAGCCCAACTCTCTCAGCCTGTCCCCATAGCAGAGGCGCTCCAGCCCTCTGAGCATCTTCGTGGCCTCCTCTGGACTCGCTCCAACTGGTCCATTATGTCCTTCTTATGCTGGGGGCCCTACAGCTGGACACAGAACTGCAGGTGGGGTCTCACAAGAGCAGAGTAGAGGGGGACAATCGCCTCCCTCCACCTGCTGGCCACACTTGTGATACAGCCAATAAAGTACAAGTGCTTAAATAAACCTGTACTCAGTCTGCAAAGAGGACGAAGGCACAAAAGGTTAAAGAATGCTTTTATTCAGCTTTCAGCTCTCACAGTTCTAAACAGTAAACATATTTAACAATTCACCCATGGTACCAGAGAACATGGTCCTGGTATCAGTAAAATGTCTACTGTTTAAGGCACTGATAGTGGGAGGAGAAAAGGTATAGCATGGATTGCTCCTATTTAATCAGAATTTTAATCTATTATGCATAGGTGTTTGCTATCCAGACGCTTGAAATTCCACAAGCTACGTTCAAACACAAATGTTTATACAACTTCACTAATTACTGAAACAGGAATCAGCAGCTCCCCTACTTCGACTTAAGAGCAAGTATAGCATTACTTTGGAGCGGAATCAATGTTTAACCTACTAAAAGAAAACAAAGCACAAATTACTTCAGCAGTATGGCTTGAAGACCCTGTATTTGGTTACGATATAGCAAGCCAAGTTAAATAACAGCGTAGAAGTGCCATACACTGTCATCCTAAAATGAGCAGTTTTCCAGTATAAAAATTAGTTTAGAACATACTAAAGCCGTTTTTTGTACAAATGTTTTTACAAAACTGAATTACTCAAAGGAAAAAAAAAATCAAGAACATTTTAAATATGAATCACTCTTTACATGTTATATGCATAAAATTACTTACCTTGATATAAATTAGGAATACTACAAACTTTTTAAAGCTGGCAGCCATATACTCCCGAAATGCACACATCAGAAATACTGAAGTGTTAGTTCTGCAAAATCCTTAAGAGTCACATTTATACTTGCCGAACAGATACACAGTGACTTAGGTTTCTGAAAGAGCCACAGTGACCTCCCGTGGCCACTTAAGAAAACCCCGCCCTTAACCTTTTTTTCCCCCATTCTGAACATGACACTCCCCACAAATCCTAACAGCTCTAAAGGTACAGCAGTGGTTCATGCTTGGTCCATCCATCCCAGGAAATGGCAAGATTTCTATTTGGAATGAGTGAAAGGAACACAGGCTTCACACAACCTAGCTCCCGGTGCCAGAAACAAAGTCAGGTCGCCCCTCTGATTTCTCAAGAACAGTTTAGAGAACCGTTTTCTGTAGGTCAATGAGAGATGCTGTTCAATAGATTTTCAACACACGTTCAGCAGTAGACTCCCAAACAGATAACTTCAGCTTTCAAGAGAATAAATGAAGGCAATGTAAACTGATGCTGTCTGACTCAAAGTCCAAACCAGAGCACACAAAGCTGTATGCGACATTGTAAATGTGTGTCAAGTCCGTTGGTATACAAAGCCCCAAAATATCTTAAAAACAAACCAAGTGTAACAAATGAACCCAAAAGTCAATTATTTGCCTTCTTCCACTGCTCTGAAGGACTGTAACCAACAGGAACCAAACATTGTCTTCTATGTCAAGAACAGATGAACAATGTGAGAACACAAAATCACAGTAGTGACTGTTTGTCATCTGCAGTACATGAATCAACACTTACATTCTTCTACTGCTTATAGATCCTCTCTGCTATATCCAATTTTCTTTCCATTAAGTGACTCTTCTGTGTTTGGTGCCAGCCACGTGAAATATACCTTCACTGGATCAGTATTCCAGTGCTTGTGAAAGGATACTGGAATTTGGTGAGAAAGGTAGCCTTTTGGGTAATCCATGGGCCTTGCCTACAACAGAAGAATAAACCAAAACCACTAGTAGTCAGTGAGGAAGAATGATTTCAGAAGAAGAAAGTATCACCATTCAATGGCCTCTGCATCATAACAGAGCAATGTGGCACTGACAAAGTACACAATGCAACAACAAAGGGGGTTTTACAACATTCTAATAAATTAATTGTAGGTATTAATTTAGATCTCCAACCCACACTGCCGTCACCATGCTGTGAAGTACACTGATATTAAATATGCCTTATCTCTCAGGTCTCCAACTATGAAAGCAGGTGATACAGAGTGCAGTTTGTATTGCATCTTTTTAAACACACAGTTTTACATCAATAATGACAAAATTATTTCAAGTGATATTCTCTTGCTCCTCTTCTTCACAAGAGTGCCAGCTTTGGCACTGTGATTACAGGATCCTAATAGTGCCATAAGCAACCAAAATATATGAAGTTTTATGATGGTGAAAGGTTACCAAATGCAGGAAATACCGTGATGCCAGAAAACTTCATTGTTATTCTTTATCAGGTTATATCAAAAGAGACAGAATTACAATACAGCTACATGATGCATCTGACTTCTTAATGCACCAACCATGTTTCATATCCTCTGACAGTTTAATGGCATCTGAGTGCATCATTACATAAAAAAGTGCCACTTGTAGTGGTCCCTGATAAAATAACTATATTTTGCCTTTGTAAATGGAGTTTTTACAAAGAGAAATCCACGAAAGACACACAATGTTTTTTTTCTAGAGGGTAAAACACAAGAAGAAAATTGAGTTATTTGGATACTGAATCACTGATTTGATGCCTAAGCTAATAACGGATTTAATACTGCACGCATCACATATGGTGGTATTAATGACTTCTACATGCTGCATTCTTCATTCAGTTCTGTATACATCCCAGTCATAAAATAAGGCAACAGAATTTGACATTAAGAAATCTACATGTGTGTTGTTGGTGGGGTTTTTTTTACTTTTACTTAAATCATAGAGTGCTTTTTTTTTTAATTGCACTGGAGAAATCAAGAGGGAGCCTGTTTCTCTCAAGACTTTTGAAAAAAACCTTTAATGAACATCTGGGTTTTAAAAAGCTGAAAAACTTACTTTGGATAGAGACAGTTTTTAGGTACCTGAGACTGAAACTTTTTGCTGTTTGAAAATCAACCATCTCTTTATTAAGGTACAGAAAAAGTTTTGATGTGTTGATAATTCTAAAAGAATGAGATCTCCTCTAGTAACTACAGCTTTTATTACATTTCTCTTTAATACTGCTTTATAGGTGGTTGACCTTAAGATATAAATTCCCTATTTCTTCTTCCTTACATTTAGTGGAATCAAGTACTGTAATCTTTGCGCTTTTTTGGTGCTAGAATGTATTTGGCATTCTACAAAAGCCAAGTATGTTGCTCTTGCCCAGATTTTATATTTTAAGACCATGATCCTGGCTGCTACTCAACATGGGAAGGTTCCTGTTCCATCTTTCATCATGTCAAAAGTCCCTGGAACAGGTTACAGAATACATATCTACCTTAGGATATGGCAAACAGGAAACCACTAAGAGCGAGTAAACACTGTTACATCACAGACACCATAAGGGTGAAGATATATTGGCTTCTGTTTCATGATATATATTCAGTACAATTTTGGATTCATGTACTTCAAGGAACATTCTGCCTCATAATAATTCAGTCAAGTCTTTAAAAATAATAATTTTCTGGTTGACAGAAAATCCAATTTCGGTTTTCTCATTTTTAAAATATTTGTTGCATAATAATGGAATAGAACAGGCACACTCAACTTTTATTCAGTAGTTTCCCCTCCAGGGTTAATTTTTGTTCAAGGTATGTTAAATTAAAATGTGATATAAGCAACAGTAAAGATGAATTACAATTAGCGTGTAATTTTCGATGTGGAAAATCAAACTGCTAGGATTTTGCTCTGGAAGTGATTCAATAGCAAACGCACACCTACCAAGGATCACAAGGAAGTGCTTTGTTTTGTTGTATAACAGCCATTCCTATAAATCCATAAAATAAATTCTGTTCTTTTCAACCCTCCTCTAATGAGGTGTTTTATAAACCAAACTGTGCAAGCACCAACTATTCAGCAACTGTTGGGTTTATAAGATGCATTACTTGCTTCCTTTCACACGTGTACTGAAAAGAGTAAGCAATGCTAAACAAAACAGGAAAGTAAACATAATTTTTTTATATGGCCAAGGAATTAAAATATTGAATAGTGCATTCTCAGTCTTCCCATTTCTCTAAATAGTAAATGTAATCAGAAATAAGAAAAACTGGTCATTTACAGAGCAAACTTCACCCCACCACTGACCACTGCTTTGAATTACATGGAAAGGTACTAATTTTCAAGTAGCCTATTATGTTAACCTCAGTAAATATTCAGATACATAGGTCTTCCCAGTTCTTAACTAGATTGACACCTGCAAGAAATCAAACACTGCACTGATTTAAAAAAAAAAAAAACAAACCCAAAAAACAAAAAACCACCAAAACCAAAAACCACAACAACAAACTGCATTGTTTGGGAAAAACCCTAAGTGCTGCTTCTCTTCAATGCCATGGCAGGAAGGTGAAGCGCTTATTTGGTTTACGAGGCAGCAAATCTCTCTGGGACTCAATGCATCATCTCTTCCACTGTGACACTACAGTTAGATTAAATATTCTGCATGACAGAAACAAGATCCAAATCTACTCCAGATCCACATCTGCTCCAAGATCCAAATCTTCTCCCCAGCTGGAGAATATACTCCCAAGAAAATTATGTTTTGTGACCTCTTTTTCCCTTGAGCTAGCCTAAGGCAATTTATCGTATTTGTACCATTCTTCAGAATCCACCACAAAAGCAACAGTTCTGGGAATACTTTTACCTTTTGTATCTTCACTAATGAGACACTGCAGAACAGTAAACACAAATTGATAGCAAAACTGGGTAAGGAGACAATTTTACCGAAAAATTGCAGTCAGTGCTCCACTACCTGAAGAAAAGAAGTATTGTGGTGTGTTGCTTTTTATTTTTATTTTTCTTAGAGGATGTATCACAAGTGTCCATAGCACGTGGTTCCTAATTCTATTTGGGTTTCAGCATTCCCACATCTGACTGCATTTATTTATAAAATGCATTTTTTAGAAAACGTAGTCACAGGGTAACTGAAATACCTTGAAACTATTAAAGCACTGTGGTAATCCATGCTTTGAGAATATTCTTATTTGCTTGATCAAACTTGTTTTGGAGAGAAGTATGGTACAGCAGCAGTGCATCTTGCTTACAGTTATTACACAGCGATTGAGTTGGCAACATTTATGAGTCCTGTTTTATGTGCATACTTAAAAGAGCAAAATCTATTTTTAATACTGGAAGAAATAACAGTCTGACCTGATGGAAAAGTGGACTGTGTGTTATAGGGATTCCTAAGCCACTGAAACACATCCCAAGGACCATATCATCAGGCGCGTCCATGCTGTAACACCGGCATTTACTAGCAAGTAGCTTATGGACAGCTATTCTGCTGAAAACCATCCTGAATAAAAAAAGCAAATGGAACATGTAAGACAGTAACTATTAGAGAAGCCAAATGACTGCGATTAATAAATATTGCTAAATGATATAAAACTGCAACCCAAAATGTAGCTTTCTGATAAAACATACCTGAAATTTCAATATTTGAGAAGTCAGTACTGACCAGTAGTGCAAGAGGCATTTTCTGAAAAATAATTACCTTGTATAATGAAAACTAATTACACCAACTATGCCAATTGTTGTTATTCCAGCAATTACTTAGCTAGCGACCATTTCTGCTGCAGTTGATAATTCCTCCTAAATCTGCCCAGGACATTAAAGGGATATTCTCCTCTTACTCACCCAAATGTACTGTCCGGCTATTTATCATACAGCAATTAAACTAAAAGAACTCTAAACCTGAACTGTCATTCCTTGAATCCTCTGTTACACAGTTCTCCCCGTAAGTGAAAAATGTTCCTTGCAGCGACTGCAAGACACTTCTTTCATCCTAATGTTCTTGCTCATCTAAATACCAACGAGAGCCTGGAGCTGTTAGATCATTATCACTAAAATAAGCATTCAATGTCTTAAATTCAAGAGCTGAGGGAATATTCTCGTGGCTAGTATTCTACAGCTGCCTTTTCTGAAGTTACATCATCCAACCAGCCTGATCAGCATACAGGGTACTCCAGCCACTACACGTTATACTAGTAAGATTCACACTCTGCAATTGCCACATGGCTTCATGAGTTCATTCCCCATACGACAATCCTCCACTTCACACTGGGACACGGTCAAACTTCTCAGATACTGAATGCTAAGGCAAAACACGACTGACCTGAGAATACTGTCAGATCTAAGTTGTAAAATACTCCATCACTAACACTGCAGCTTTGAAGATTCCATCGAATCATAGAATCACTGACTGGTTTGGGTTGGAAGGGACCTTAAAGCCCATCTAGTTCCAACCCCCCTGCCATGGGCAGGGACACCTTCCACTAGACCAGGTTGCTCAAAGCCTCGTCCAGCCTGGCCTTGAACACTTCCAGGGATGGGGCATGTATTGTAAAAAAAAAAAAACCAAAAAACCAAAACAAACAGAGAAGGAATAAGCAGCCTTGGGAGTTAAAAAAAAAAAAAAGGACCAGCATGTGTTGCTACACAGAAGGTGTGACATAAATTGCACACATTTGGGGAATACGCTTGCTTGTTGATTATCTGGACTGTCCCTTTCTGTTATACACAATTCTTCACTTACACGGAACTTTCTCAAAATTAGGGTATGGACCAAGAGAGATGATCTGTGTCTCTATCTGCTCAAGCCTGAGAATGAAAACAACCCCCAAACTTCCAAACCTAGATGGCAGAGAAGAAACTGAGATAAACACTAAGATGATATAGAAGTATAGGACCAGTAAAAGGTCCTATACATACCAGCACCAGTAAAATGTTTACTTCTTAACTCAAGCCTAAGCCCTACGTAAATTTGAGATCTTAAGCAACTATGCAAAACAATGAGAAAGTCAGTCAATTAGTTTTTACTCACTCAGGGATGAACAAGAATCTAGTAAGTTACTACAGCCATTACTTTTCACAGAGATATTAAGGACGTTCAGGTGTCCACCCTACTTGCTTTAGACACACAAGATGGACACATTCCTGTCTTTAGATCATTCTTATTGCAGTATAAGCCACACTGAAAGTTCATACACATATTAATTTAAAACAAATTTTGTATCCAATCACAGGAACCCCTGTGTCTCATGCATGCGATCAACCCACCAATGATCTCTTCTTATAAGAAGAAACTATTTTCCAGACATCAACACCAAACTCCCTGCCCAGCCACATCTCCATGAATCACTGCATGAAGTTCAAAACCAGCAGGAGAATCACGATCACTTTTCTCCATGCTTGGACAAAGAAAGAGAAGAGGAAGGAATATTTTAATTGTGGTAATTTGTATCACTAGGTGTGCTGCTTTGGCTTCTCCTGCAAATTCTACAACAGCTCAGATCATGAGCTTACTTTTTTTAAGCAACTATCCTAATTGTCTCTGCTTGCTACGCTTTGGATCACACTGTAAGACAGTCTCTGAGTATGCAGAATGAATTCTACCAGATGAAACCAGGCTGCATGATAAGCACCAGGAGAAGATGGTGCAGATAACTGATAATGGGCACTCAGTTCACAGAATCAATCAGTCAAGCCAAAATGACCTCCCAGAAATATGCCTGGCCCTTAGCACCTACTGCTCGGCTATACAAATCTGTTCCCAAATAGGCCACACAACATCCTACTAGTTAGGGCATTTGGGTCTTTAAGCATCATTACATTTTAATTATGCTAGGAAACAAAATCGTGCTAGGTGTAATTTGAAACATTTGCATTCCAAGCAGGAACTGATGTAGATCTCAGTAGGAGTTTAAATAAATTACCCTCCTCCACCAGTGATATAACTATATCCTCCTGTTCCCAAGCCGTAACCGTAACGCTCTCCGAGAAATACTGGTTCATTTGGGTCATAGCAGCTGAGCAATTTTCGGAGTCTGAAGATACTGTAACATGAAAATCCATTAAAGAAGAAATCACGTAGACATTCATTTTAAAACAGACATTGCTAGCCTCAATGGCATTCTAGGGAACAGCACAAAAAGGATAGAATAAATTCAGAAATTCTACAAAAAAGAGAGATACAAACTTTTAAACAGCAATTTTGATGGGTTATTTACCATGAGAAATGTTCGCTGAATTGGGTTAAATGCAGAATCAATTAGATTAAAATATTTTTCTGAAGAAGCGGGCAAAGTTTCTGAGCATAACTGAGTCCCTGGGCACTGTGTTAAGTTGCTCTGACAACTGACCCCAACTTACGGAACCTTTCTCCAGGCACATTTATGTGAGAAATGCATCTTAGAGAGTGTATTAGCACACGACTAAAACCAATCAGCTCAGACATACCTACAGTGAAGAGTCACACTGTATAATCATATTCAGACTATATGATTACTTAGTTACACTAATATGTATTGTTTTTATCAAGTTACAAGATGACATTGGTTTTAATATCAGTCAAGAAATGCTGAAGGAAAATGAATTTTTTTTTCTTAAAATAATTAAGCTATATAACTAATGAAACAGCTGTAAATCTTAAATACAGAAAAAGAAAAGAATATTGCTAAAACTCCTATCAGTATGAACAGTGGTAATTCCTGAAGTATTGCAATATATACCTTATCAGTGTGTCATCATCCACTATGACTAACCAAGGAGTTCTGGGAGAGCTATGATTCAAAAACCTTTCCAAAATGGCAAAAGTTTTCCCACAGTGACCTAAAAGAAGAGAAACAACAGAATATATGCATTTAAATAAAACGAGACTTTGTAATAAACAATTACTTATGAATTAATTAAATATTTTGCTGCAGTATGTAAAACATATGGGAAACAACTGCCAAAATATTTGAGACACAAGTTTAAATTACATCCTTTGTTGTTCTGAACAGTATTAGTACAAATTGTTTCAACACAATTAATGCTTTCTACGCAGGAACATACTTTTGAAGGATAGTAAAGTATGGAAATTCTCTGGATTACAGAAACCCAAAAAACTATCCTTTTAAGCTGTTGGACAATGCCGGGCAAACTTCTACTCTTAATTTCCAAAACCATAAGATGAGAAGACTATGATAGAAACATGTTCAGCAAAATACACTAAGATATCTTCAAAGTATTTCATGATGCACGAGGCAAGTTCATTGCTTTTATATCAATATTTAAGTCTACATTAATCTGCAATACTCATCAATCACCTTCAACTCAGGTCCTGATAACTTCCTCCAAGGAAAGGTCTTAACATTTATCACAAGACTATAATGAAGCTGAGAGGTAAAACATCCTTGACAAGGAGTTGAGAAGTGAAACACCCTTGTTCAAATTAAGCAGGACAAGTGAAACAAGAATGAATCTCCTTTAGATCTCAGAAAAAACAAATGGCAAACAGGTTTTATCCATGTAGATTACAGTTGACTGCCTAAAGCAATTATCACTATCAATATTACAATTTCTAAACAAGCATTAAAAATAAGAATAACATACTATGTTTGAAACTATTTCCCTTTAAAATATTTTTTTGAGAAAATGCAGCAACTCTCTCCTCAAGAAATGAAGAAAATCCTGGCTTTGCTGATTTTGCAAAAGCATGAACTTAATGCAGACAGATTTGTCCATTTACAAAATTAAACCCAAGATTTCTGTATTATATTCCATCAGAAAAGATGGACAAAGATAGTATTAGAACAAACTCAGCTCAATCTGTTTTGTTTAGAATGCCAGTAGCCCATGGGTCTGGCTGCTCCCCACAGCAATGCTCAAAGGCTGAATGCAGATTTTTGTCTCTTGGTATCAGTGTACCTACTCCCAGTATTTAGGTTTCTACTCAACAGAACGTTCTACCTACATAGGTGAACAGTACTCTCCATCCATGTCCTGGGTGGCAAAAGCATTATTTTAGTGTAAGCTGCAAAAACGTGCTACAGAAATACAGAATTTTTAAATGAAATATACGTATCACCCATAAAACTTACCACCTTTAGACAGTTATTTGCGCAAAACTGACAACAGCAGCCCATCGCTCACCTCTGTCAGTATTAGGTATGCCTAAATCTATGGTAGGAATGGAGGTGTCTGCATAATCACTGTAGTATTCAATAAGGGCAGCTTCTCTTTCCCAAGTCTGCTTTACAACTGGTACTGCAAAACAGTTGTTGACATTGAACGGTAAATAACTTGTTTTAATCAAGTCCCTGATCAAGACATTTATGCATCCTGTTAACTGACATATTCCTTCCCATGGTAATGAAAATGCTGTTTCAAACACAGCATCATGGTTCAAAACATTCATTTTTTTTTTTTTCCTACAACGTGTAGAGAGAAACAATTTCACATTTTTATAAAAGCCAGTCAGTGCAGTTTTATTTATACAGTAATCAATTTTCTTTCAAAATACAACTATAGTTTCATTCATACTACACTGAAAACTATGGTGTTTCCATTTATGGTAACGGAAGTATGGAATTCATTTTTACACTTGGTATGGCAGACTTCATAGCACACATCAGCATGGACACTACGAGAGATCAATCAGTCTTCCAGCACTGAAACCGTCACATTTCAAAACCAGCACATCCCACTGTACAGCCCATAAAATGTGCTGAGACAGAAACAGACCAAATGCTCTACTGCTTAACACTGGAAGCTGTGAGGAAAAGTTCAAGAACTTTCCTCAGTCTTCAACAGGTGTTTCTTGAAGGATGTTTACACTTTTTGAAGACTTATGTTCTTTTCTGACTTTCTAGGGGGTTGTTTGTTTAATTCTGATGTGAGGAAATAAACGTGGATCCAGAAAGAACTCCTCTTCAGTGAACTCCAATTACAGGACAGTCAATTTTGCTCTGTCAAAAGCTACTTTAAAGATAGCTTAATGATTAGGTGATTAATACACTAGACATGTGCCTTCATCAAGTGCAGTAACATTAAGAAAAAAATGCCATAAATCTCATTTTCAAGAGAAAACCTGCAACTGGCAAATAGTCTAAAATCAGATCTGACAGAACCTACAGTTTCGGGTGCATTAGCCAAGGGGACATAGTTAAGAAAAGAATTTTTATCTTCATCCTCTCCTCTGACAATAGCTGTGGCAAAAACCCCTCAAAATTTGGCACAACTGCTAGCCATTACTTCGTTTGCAATTCTTTTTTTGCCAATAATAATCACTTCAGCTTAGGAACAAACTAAGTCTAATATTTTATACCTGGAGTATTCAAGGGCTCACAACATTCAAATAAATTACTGGAAATAAATCCATTCCTGAATTTATTGGTTAACAAAATGTCTAGAGGTAAACTAGGATGGACTGGGAGGTGGCATCAAGTAGGTAGAGTGTCTTCTGTTAGATCAGCGGATTTGGAATTTTTCCTTCCTCCAAGCTTTGTAGACACTGGCTCTACCTCAGCTGAGCCTGAAGGAGTATTATCTGAAGCTCAGTGTCTTTCTGTGTCTGTATTTTCTGTGCCTCCGAGAAGGAAGTTAATACTCACTGGACATAGCTTGTTGGGCTGTGCTAGTGTTTGTTGGTTGTTGTTTTCACCATGGATAAAATGGTCATATTTTCATGGTGACTATCAATACTTGTACAACACTACAATTTCCAGATGAAACCAGCTGTAGTGTTGTACACTTGGGAGACTCTTGACCCGGACCGTGACTTGGACAAAGTACTACAGATGACCACATTTCTACAAGAGAGAAAATTTCCCATTCCAAGCATTACAAAACACCTCTGGACATTCAACGGCATAGGGTGACACAAGACAGAAGTAATAAGGCACATAAACTGTTCAGTCTTTCGCTGGAGGGCAGGGCAGAACAAAAGTAAGTAGGAGAGGAGAAAGAGCTTTCTGCTTGTTCAAATTTCTAAATCAGTCACCATAAAGAACAAAAAAAATCTACCTAAATAATAAGCTGTTTACAATTCTGAAGCTTTCATGCTTCCCAGTGGATTTTGCAAACAGAGTCCCAAAGTGCTACACAGACAGCGTCTATCAGCTTGGGTTTTAATTTCATAAACTATATTGCACAGAACTACTACCTTGACTAACCAACAACTTACTTCTGTCTCCATGAAATTTCTGACATGTTTTTACAGCGACAAAGACATCTTCCTTTTTCACTGGCTCTCCCTATATGAACAGAACAAAAAAGAATTTTGCAATTGCAGGCACTGCCTGTAACATTTTATAGGGTATGGATGTCCATGCATATAATAAAACAGAAAAAACCTTTTCATTGTATAGCATATCAAGTAGAATAGTGTACCAGTAATACAGTAGATTTTTGTCTCTTGAAAAAAAGGTCACTAGTAGTTTAAAATTCCTGATATAACATGACTGAAATACTTTCTCCATTGATGTAATATTCTAACATGAACTAAAACACCTGTCATTAGGAAAAGAGAATGAGTAGTAGAACTTATTGAAGTAAAAATGGCTCATCTGAAAAAGAATGTTTTCTTAATTTCTTTTAAATTCATCAATAGGAGAACATGTTGAACTGCATCATACTTGGAAAAAGAAGCTTAAATGCTACAAAGTAGAAATCTTTGAATTTTCTCAACTTTAATAAAAGTCATTTAACCTTTTTTATTTGTTTTCCTTTTTGGCACCTAGAATTTTGCTCTTCTAGAAGCATGGAACACTTTTTGGCCTCTAGCAACAGTTAAGTAGTATCATAAATGTGTTCTCCAAAAGGTGGAAGAGATGGGTTGTGCTTTAATGAACCAAATACTATATTACATTTTATCTTTGGCCTCCACAAGCTTTAGATTCCCATCTGTGAAAAAAGATTATCTATACTTCAGTATCCCACATAAATGTAAGGAGAAATACTTCACAGATCATGGGCTGCTCAAGCATTGTGGTAGAAAGACTCATTACAGCATATGCAATATTTGTTTACCAGGAAATATCCTGTGCCATGGAAGGCTGAAAGCATATCGAAATCCAGAGAAATGCCAGACAAACCCTTTATTTAACTTATTGAAAATTGTTTTATTAAGGTTGGAGATATTTAAAGTGAAGTATTATGCATTTTAGTAAGAGTTTGACCTTTACTGGGCAAGTGGTATTTAAAATAAGCTACTTACACAAAGTGGCAGAAAATTACTGAATGTTGTTGCACAATGATCAACCTTAAACGAGTTCACATCATCTGTGCAGAACTCAGGCACATGAGTAAGATGTGGTCCTTCCCCTTTCTGCCAAATATACAGGGCAATCTATCAAAATAGAAAACATTTATATCAATAATGGAACTGGATAAAAATCCTCAAGTCATACAAAGAAATAATGTTACAGGAAAACTTAACAGGAAAACTGAGTAATATGGGATGCTGTAGAAGATTTGTCCCTTAGTTGATTAACTAGCTGCACACCTTCTTGCTGATGTTTCGAGAGCCAACATGTAATTTTTTTGCTATGAAAGAAATTTTATAGACAGACAAGTTTTAAAATTTGTCTCACAGAACTACAATTAGTTTCATATATTTAAGCATGTCAAAACAACTCATCTTCAACTTTTATAAGAAGTGGTAGAGTGAATATTTACACCTTTTAAAGTAAATAAAAATCTTAATTGTGTTACTCTTTTAAAGTTATTTCGATAACTCGGAATAGCTAGAGCTGTTTCATCCTATGTGGCAATCTTCAGCTTAGACCCACTCTGGTGACAATTTAAAATGCTCAAAATGAGTAACGAAACTCTGAGAAGCTGTAAAATATAATGAAGGATAATGTAATAGATATGCTATTCTATGCTAGACTCTTGTCCATTTTAAATGCAACAACAAAAAAGCCAGCCAAAATTTACAGAGAAAAAGGAAGAAGCAAGCTAATGATGTATGAAGAAGATAACCCCACCACCCCTTTGTATTTATATTCAGTTTATAATAAAAACAGTATTTCAATCTGTACTTCATGACACATCAAGAAGAGTTAGACTCGCCTCACATTTCTACTCCAATGATTTTACACTGCCTGTAACTTTGCCAGACTAAGCATTCAGGCAGGAAAGGTCTACGCTGGCTGCCATTCTCAGACCCACTAAAAGATTAAGTTAATTTCATATAAAACTGTTCAGAAACTTGTAAGAACAAAATGAAGTTCTTAAAAATCTAAAAGGCAGAAAAAAGTATCTCCTTAAGAATGTGGATCCAGAGCTTCCCAACTGCACTGCTGTACACTCCCAATTCTGAACGCTTTGTCTCTCTTGGGGATAAGCCAAAGCTGTGAAAGCATTTTTGGACAAGAGCAGTTTGAGCATATACAGAAAATGTAGATTTGGGTTCTAGGTTTGCTTCTGCCTACCTCATTCAGAAGTTAGGGCTTCTAGTTTTCAAAAGGGTGCCTACACCAACTAACCAGAGAGATTCTGAGACAGAGACTCTCCATGCTACTTGATGTAACAGGGTTACTATGCAAAGAGTAAGACTGATGGAACCAACAATCCAGTGTAGAGATGGGGAGCCTGTCTCTACTGCACAGGGGGAACAGGACTCCTCCAAGGGAGGAAAATCTCTCCTGGGTTCTAGCTCCTGTTTCCCTGTGTTATTTACACATATTCCCAATGGAGAACAAGTGCAACACTGGAATATGCAACCAGACTCAGCACACACCAATGGCAATGAAAACGAGTCTTCTTTTCACAAGTGTATGCTTACTTAGGAACTGCTGGCTTTAAACACACACACCCCCCCAAGGGCCAGAATTCAGCTCCTCTTTTAGCAAACAATGTGATCATTAAACTATTATTAAGAGGGCGTAGTATTCCCTTCTTCCCAGTGTTTAGAAGAGCTCAGCAGAAACAAAGAGCATTTAGTATGGTCTGGACAAGCCCAAGCCCCCAAACCAGTTAAAGGCTTCTAAGTTATAGGTGATTATTTTCCTGCCTATCTCATTTAGGTTTCAACATCCTCAGAAAATCCCAGCTATTTGCACACAGCCATTTCTGGAACTCGGAAGAAATAAAATAGAAGCCCAGTTTGTTACAGGTCCTGTCAGGACTGAGGGCATGCTTGAGGATACAGTCCCATTTTTGAAACTTATGCTTTCAGGTTTGAAAGATTTCACGATAGCGTACGGTCACATACTAGAACAGAATTAACTGATGACTTTCTAGCAAGTTGCTGACTGTAACTTAGACTGCTTCAATGGCAAAGTAAAAACATTTCATTTGAATGCACTGAAAAGAGTTTAATTAAGTTGTAATTGAGCAGATGCAGATGACTGGGAGCTGTGAGTACAACCATGGTCACTACTACCGCTCAGCCAACAGTGACTTCCTACACTGTAACTCAGCTGCAGGTTCTTTTTAAAGAATGAGTTTTGTAGTTTGCAAGTCCTAATTCCTCTTAGCCTCACCACTATGCAGTGGTCTGTTTATCTGCCGGTTTAGCAATGCTTCTGAAAACACAGATGATCTTCGCATTACAGATAAGTTCAACGAAGTACTAAATGTGAAGTCACTCAATAGGGAAGAAAATGCATGAGCATGAGGGACAGTTAAGACAAATACTGTTGATAGTGCTTGGAGTACAGGAGGAGTATGGAAATTACAAGTAACACATACACACTCATGGTAAGGAGCAGCCAATAAACACACATACAGCTCCAAGGTTATCTTTTTCCCTTGTCACCACATTCACATGACGGGATGCAAGTGGTTCTTGACCCTGCCTTGTAGCTGGAAGACTACAAAACAGCAAGGAATGGGATTTCTAAAGAGCTTTCAATACATTTTAAGAATGTGTTAGTTCAGGATTCAGCTATTCAGAATTGTCTATCACACGAACCAACAAAGCAATGCTCCTGCAGCATAAAGAATATTTAACAATTGTAGCGTAACATGAATATTTATGAAAGTTCATAATGTGCTAAGATTTCCCACTGAATAATGAAACCTTCAGTAGAAAGCCTCAGAACGGTGTGAAGCTATTGTACTTCAGAAGTGACGTTAGAGTGCCATTTCAGCTTATAGAACAGGATGACAGACTGTTCCTAAAACAATGGAAATGGATTTACAATAAAAAGACAAAAAAAAGTCTTAGTTCAAATCTAACATTAGATCTACAAAAAAATCCACTATTCACTTCCAGTTTTGAGTAAGAATCAGGGAAAACGTTATATTTTGTGCAGTTACAAAAAGTCTAAAAGACAATCTACAAATGAGCAGGAGCATGGCACAAACTCTACTGCTTTTGCAAGACAGACAGACAGATGGAAAGTGATATAAATGTTACACATATAAGAAACAGGGACTTGGAAAGTAGCAGGGTGAGAAAACACCTGATACAGAGCACAATAAAATAGTAAAGACTAGAGGCACATGCTATTAGGACTCTGTCAAACTAAAACAATTCTTAAAACATTTGTTACCCTCCATAAATTTAGCCATTAAACACAATCATTAAAGATCACAGATTATATCCTCTGATTTGTTATCAATCTTGATTCACACAAGAAGGACATAGAGATAAAAATGATATAAGAAGGAGAAGATGGTGATTTATAAAATCAGTGAGAGGGAATGGAACTGTCTCTAGGGAAACATGAGAGTGTGCAGAAAGGATACCTACAGGGCTGAAGTAGGTTATCAATGGCAATAAATTTGAAATGAAACATATGCAAATAACTGCTAACAAAAAGATATGGATGGAAGACGTTTTACCAGTCAAGTGATCAATTGCTTTTCATGAAGCAATCTGTGGCGTACTGAGGAAATGTCTGCTAATGATTTTTTTTTTTTT